TCTAAATTAGTTAGCCATTGTGCTCTTTTTTTGCTCCTATTTGGAGTCAACAAAATGTGTTTCTGCACACTGAGTGGAGAATGGAAAGACTTGTTTATTGAAAGGAAATGTCACTGTACTATTAAAAAAAATTTTCATCTTTACCTTAGTGCTCCAGATGGCTTCTGGGTATTTGGATAATAGAATGTGATTCTGTGGAGATTTTACTTTATCAATGGGAAGATCTTCTTAATTCCTCACATCTGCCCTTCTACATATATAAAATGTAAATTCTTATAAAGGTACTCCATTTCTTCATGATACCTTGTGCGCTAAACCCCTCACTGTGCTTCAGAATCTGGGCCTCTAAACTGTCAGGCATTTTATGGACCACTTAGATTTTGACAAGACAATGTTTTAAAGATTTTTTTATGACATTTTATGACAGAATTAGCCTCTGCTGCTCACATCCAATTTTATTTTTTGAGCATGTGGAACCGAAGGGCTTTCCACATGCTAGGCAAGTGCTCTACCACTGAGCTACATTCCCAATAACTATATTTTTTAAATTTAATTAGTTTTTAATTGTTCCTGTATTAATAGCACAGGTCTCCCTAAACCAGTGATGGTGAACCTTTTAGAACTTTCAATGATACAGCCTGCTGTGGCACGCATGCCATAAGTTCACTACCACTGCCCTTAATAATACAGCCAACTAAAGGAAGGTAAAGATTAAATTAAAGGAGTCAAACAAATTTTTGACACAGATTGAGGAAAGAGGGCTTTTGATAATGTCTCTTTGCCTTCTGCCATTTTCCTCTCCCTGCCAGTCCTTGGCGGATATTAGCTGACAGGCAGTGGCAACCACTGAGGCTCCTCTGTGTCAAGCTTCTTTAAGTTCTGAACTTGAAATCTAAAAGCAGTGGAAATTCTAAATGCAATTTCCAAGTTGAAAAAAAAGTCACTGGAAAAATCAACCTCTCCTATCTTATCTTAACATCTTGAGAAATAGTGAACACACACAAAAAAAAGAAATAGTGAACAAAACAGGGCCTTTAAAGCAAGAGAATAATTGCAGAAAGGGAGAAATTGTGGGCAATTCTGTTGCTCAGCTATTACATTGGTTCCTATTCTAAAGTAAAGAAGGTAAGCTCAGATTAATAGAAAACAACCCAGAACTCAGCCATTTTTATTATGATTTGTTTGACATGTTAAATTGGAGTAAAAATATTAGTGATGGGGCAAAGACAGAACTTATACCAACAGGTGTGGAATTTTTAAGTAAAATGGATGAGACCTCCAGGTTGGAGAACATTTCAATTTATACCAATATGGACTATCACTGCCAAAAATGAGATGTTGAGTGAATGACATCACTTTACTCTGCAGTGGCTTTGGCCAACAAGTGCCAAATGCAGTCTTAGGGTGTCCTGGTGTCATCAGGCGGATGTGGTGGGGTGGCCCTAGACTGAAGAGGACCTCAAGAACAATTCTAGGAAACTGATGGGGGCTAAGTGCAATTCATGCTGGGGCAGAGTGCAATACAATCACATGCCTGTAGCTAACTAGCAAGCTTTGGCTCTTTTAGAAAAGGAATATTCTCTGAAGCCTCATTTTTAGACTGTTACAGGTATAAAAATGGAATTAAATGACACTGTTTCCAACTTTTCCTTGAAATTACCTTTTCTTCATAACTTCCTAAGTCTTAGGTCCTCAGTCTCTGCTCAGTAATCTCTAGAATACCCAACTCTTTAATAATCAGACTTCTTCCTTTATCTTAATAGTCTCAGGGACACTTAGATGAGGAAGGACATTCAAATGAGAATATCAGTTTACTTTTTGTTTCATCTATGATTGCTTTTGGTGCAAGCATACTCTTAATGTTTAGTACAAGCTCAGACTTGCACCACAATGTCTTCATGAAAGCGAGTCATTATTGAGAATGATGAAACTATAAACTTATTGAGATTACTTCTTCATTGACCCGGTATCCAAACTTTCATGAAGCAATGATGAGGATAGCTACTGGGACTATTGCAATGGATCACTTTTACGGCAGTGGTAGCAATGTTTCTTAGCACTGATTTGTGAGCCAGGCTGCCTGTCTCGAGACTCACACCACCACTGAGACCTGGGCAACTTGGCATTTAACTATGGCTGTGCTTTCATCTGTAAATGGGAAAAATAGCAAGCCCCACCTTGCCTGTTATTGGAAGGATAACCTAGTTTAATATAAGAGCATGGAAAAGAGCTGACCACATAGTAATCACAGTTAAGTGTTGGCTGCAATGAATGCTATAATAGTGTTCCTAGGAACTCAGCAACACTCAGATTATAACACTTTCTCCAGGATATTTGTTAATTGCAACTGTTAAATGAGTTGAACTTCAAGGCACATGTGCAAAATTTTAGGTACTATTGGTAAACCACTTCTTTTGATCTTTTATAGGCTAAATGGAAAAAAATATCACACACACACACACACACACACCGAAACAGAGAGAGAGAGAGAGAGAGAGAGAGAGACAGAGACAGAGACAGAAAGGGTCAAATAAATATCTCAGCAACACAGTCCAGAGAGAATAGTTTACCAAAAGTTTAACATAAAAAAGATGTATTATTGCTGAGGTTATGATCTGATATTATTTACACTGATCTTTTTTTTTTTTTTTTTTTTTTTTTTTTTTTGGTACCAGGGATTGAGCTCAGGTCCTTACGCTTGTGCAGCAGGCGGCGAAACCACTGAGCTAAATCCCCGGCCCGATCTCATATTATTTATAAGAAGGTAGTTTAAAGACTGGAAGGGATTGCAGGAGGGTAATCTTACTTGTCTGTGTGTGTCTGTGTGTGTGTGTGTGTGTGTGTGTGTGTGTCTTAGTTACTTTCTCAATGCTGAGACCCAGTACCCAAAATACACAAATTAAATAAGGAAAGTTTCATTTTATCTCACAGTTGGAAGAAGTTTCAAACCATAGTTGACAGCATGGCAGAGGAGAAACAGGCCATGGGATGGCAGGCAGGAAGCCATGAGCCTTCCTTCTTTCCCTTTTTATTCCATCCAGGCTATGTCTACTGATTGGTGCCACCCACGCCCAGGGTGGCTCTTCCCTCTTCAGTAAGTCCATCATCCACAGGAAGAACTATGCCAAACCAATCACTGGACTGACTCAGTATCATACACCCATGATCTAGTCACTCCCCAAAGCTCCATCTATGAGCACATGAGGCTTAGGGGTGGGGGATCATCTAGATATAAGCCATAATGGTGTGTATGCAGTTTCCCCTTTTCTCCTTGTCAGAATAGTTCCATTTAGAGAAGAAAAAAAAAAAAGCTTTCCTCCTAAATTTGCAGATATCTGCAAATAGTGTTTTGCCTAGAAGGAAAAAAATAGTTTACTATGATTCATCTGAAACACATCTTCTAAGATGTCAAAATGAAATATTTATTGCTGTCAGAGGACTTATTTATCTGCAGAAAGATGCATTGCTTTTTACCATAAAATTAGAGTCATTTCTTGAAATTGGCTGACAAAGAGAGATGGGGATCCCAAGTTCCTTCTAGCCCCCAAGCAGGTGCCCCACATCCTGTAACTCTCATTTCCTACCTGGTCTCAAATCCTACCAGAAGGGTTAATCCTATGTTTAAAAAATCCAAAGACTTGTTTAAAATATCTTACCATTACCTGAGAGAGGAGAGTGTGTTCAACTTCTGTTAGCATATTGTACAGCCAGCCCTATGTGGTTGGCTAAGGTACTGCACCTCTGTAAATTACTGAGATCTGTCCCTGAAAGGTAGTTTTCAATGAGTAAAGGGAATCTGGGCCAAGGAACTTTGAGCAGCTAAGAAGGATCTTCAAGAGCTGGTGTAATGGTCAAGGAAAGATTGGGGGTTTTTTGTATTGTTTTGATAAGAAGTGTTATGGATGAGCGAGTTAGAACAGTGGAGATGTGCCACACTCTGTGCCAGATTTGAGTCCATTTATTAAAGCTGGTGGCCAAGGGGAGCTAGTACCAGGAAAGTTCTCTCGGCCCTGAGAAACAGTTTGATTTCTCCTTTTAAATCATGCCTTCAGTTGGGGAGGGCTCAGGGGAAAGAGCAAGCAGAATCTTACAGAAGCAGAACCATGCCAGGTTGGGGGGGGGGGGCACAAGGAAGTTTCACACACTAGGTGAGGTACAAAACATCCTGCAACTGCAGCAGGTTTACTGCCAAACAGGATGCAGGGGTTTGGGGTGCTTTATCCAAGTCCACACTTTGTCTAAGCACAGGTACAAGCTGGTGTTCAGGCTCACGATGGAGTCAGGTTGGCTCTCACAGGGAACATACAGAGGCCTCCATGCACAATGACTTGGCTTAGGTGGAGGAATGGCATAGTGGCCCCCAGTGGGTAACAATGAGAATACTTTGGGAAAATTGACTTAATGATGCAAGAAGTGAGTTGCCCCCCTCTTGCCTTTTATCTTTCCTCTCCTATCTCACTCCATACAGAATTATTTGGAAAGGGACAGGAAAGCAAAGAGGGATTGGGAATGGCAATTGTCAAGTATATTAACATCATGGTCTTTAATACATATTAATGTTTCTATTCTACTAAGATGCTGATCAGTGGTTACACATGCAGTTTTGCTGGAGGAATTTTGTATTAAATAAGGGTCAAAGAGAGAGGAAACAAGGAAATGAATCAGCAAAATATCTCCGAGATAGTGACAGTCTTTGCTTCATGTCTAACTAATGTGACCCTGAGTAAAACACCCCTAATTTATTCATTTCCAGATAATTACTAAATGGTTACTAGTTGCAGTATGTAACAAACTAAAAATAAAAAGTATTTGCACGATTTCCTTCTGGGAGCTTTTTTGTTTTGTTTTTGGTTTTTGAGAAGTAGGTAGTAAACTTTGTAAAGAAAAAAATATCGCGGTAAAGTTATTGTTCTCAGTTTGATCTTGCTGCTACTTTCGTGATTTGGGGGGTTATGAGGAAGATCCCGCCCACTTATTTATTGTAACATTTCTTTTTCTAGACCCAGAATAGGACAGACTCATATACCATTCTGATCTGGGTGCATTACTTCAGAAGGTACGCTGATCTCATGGGGAATCGCGACTGCCTGGTCTTGGGGCTGACAAGCCAGGGAGAAATTCATCACATGCACTTCAAAAAAAAGATCTCTTAATGAAGTTCAGAAAATATGACAGATGTTGGGCAACCAAAGCATACCAACATAACCTGGCTTCTCCTTGACATTCATTTTGCATGGTATTCCCAGTAGAGTTTCTGTCTTGAGATTCTGCATAGATATCCTTGATTTAAGCTAATTGATTTAAAAGACACCACGGGGAACATCAGAGGCAGGAAGGCAAGGTAAAAACGCAGCTATCAAGATAATTTGCTTTTTTCTCAAAGAGTAATTGTTTAAGAATTCTTTTCTGTGCCTTATTTCACAATGATTTTTTTTTTCCTGTGCTAGGGATTAAACCTATGGTCCCATGGAGTGATGGAAAAACTTTTAGAAACTGAGGGTCCAAACTATAGACCAAAACTCAGCTTACTTAAGCAAAGTGCCAACGCTGCAATAAAACCTGAATACTGGGGTTTTAGTTTAGAAAAACAACTCATATGTTAACATCTTTGTTTTAAAAGAAAAACAAGTAACACATGTGCCATAGATTGGCCACCACTGATCTCATGCATGCTAGACAAGCATTCTGCAGCTAAGCTACTACTCCAGTGCACACAATGGAGTATCTTGTCTGGGCCTTAGAAACACTGTGAGGCAACAGTAACTGAACTCCACCCTTGTTCTAAAACTCCTTTCTTCTTGCTGCTTCTCAGAAACAGCCACTCCCACATAGTCTGTGCTTGTTATAGAGGCCTTTTGCTCATTGGCATGTCACGGGGGACAGGGAATCCACGTGCTTCCTTCCTATCAGCACTTTGAAGGTCTTCCGCATCACTTCTATTGAGTTTTCCTGGCTCTCCACCTGCTAAAGGACACTTGACCCTGAAAGGACAGAGAGAGCCCTGCTACTTTGGGGTGTCCCTGCTGGCTGTTCCAGGCTTGCATTGCCTTGCCTGCTGACTCCCAAACTCTTGGCTCTCTCTGCTCCAAAGTCACCCTGGATTTAGCCTGACTATGGAGGAACCTACCCAAATCTACCTTCACCTTAAAAGCTCTTCAGGTCAAATTGGTTCAATCTATGGATTGCAAAAGAAGAGAAGTCTAGAGACCATATTTTAGCCACTTTAATTTTCTAACTCTGCTGTAATGAAGTGCTACAATCTGGTGATTTAAAAGAAAAGAAACATATTATATTACAATTTTGAAGTCTGGAAGTATGAAATCAATTGTTGGCAGGGCCAAGGTGCCCCAAGGAAGAATCATTGCCCTTTCCAAGCTTCTGGTGTTGCTCAGCATTCCTAGCCCCTCCTTGGCTGACAACAGCATCACTCCAATCTTTTTTGTCACATATGTCTTCCTTCCTGTGTATCAGTATCCAAATCTCTCTAAATAAGGATACTAGTCTCTGTATTTAGAGCCTACCCTCCAGTATGATCTCAGTTAATTTGACTGCATGTGCAAAGATCTTATTTCAAGCATGGTCACTTTTGTAAGTACTAGGAGTTAGGACTTCCAACATATCATTATAGTGGACACAGCTCATGCCACAACAGCCATTGTTAGGCTTCGAGTCATCTCCAAATAGGAAGCAGTTCCAGAGTATCTATGGCAGGCTCAAAGCACATCCTTCGCTTCCTAGACTCAACACTTACCCTCTTCCACATCTGTGGAACTGACCCACTCTCCAGGTGCCAAGTAAAGATGTGACCAACCGAAGGACCGTCCCGTCTGGACCAGGCTGTTTCTGAGTGAGGTCAGCACACAGAGGACTAACTACCTCTCATTCTCACCAGGAATTTTGGTCTCCCTAACAAAATGCAAGCCCCTAAAGAATATCTATATATACATCGGCATAAGCTCAAAACTTACTGCTTCCTAAGTACTATGGATTTCTTTGCAATAGATCACTCTTTCTTTGACATTCTTTCTGTCACAATTGGATACCCTTCCTATGCACACACTATATCAAGGTTATCTTCCAAGGGGATGAGATTTTTCTGAAGCCTGAGGTGTGCCTTGATTGTTGTGACTTCAGAGAGTTATAGAATGCCCTGGGCTTATTTATTCTCATTCGAACAATTTAGAAGATCACTAGCCTCACTGAACTTTTCATTTTCTGCTGATATATTACTTACAAAGGGAAAAGTTTGACTTCCATTATAAGTCAAGTTTCATATATGCATGGTTTTCAAGAAAGGTCCAATATCAGGGCACAGATAAACTGTGGAATTTATTATATATGATGTATAATAATAATATAAAATAATAAGTGGGATATTTACTCCTCCATCTGCACACTGATTAAATATAATACAATATGTGATGTCTATTATATAGAGAGAGATAGTGAGAGAGAAAGAGAAACTACTTTCTAAAAGCTAGTCCTTAGTTATTGCAATAGACTTTGTGTAAGAACAAAAGAAAATCTTCCTGAAAAAGTAAAATAAATACCAAGAGCATTAGTTAAGTATAACACTGCAAGACATTTTATAAATATTTTGGTGAGTAGATATAAGAGAAAGTGATATGTGAGGTGACTATTTTGCATTATGCTACATTCAAAGTCGACTGAAATTTCCCATTTGCATTAACCGTCTGAGCTGTTTTCCATTTGAAGAATGTTCTATTCCAAGTTCCAGCTCCTCCTATTTTAGGTGGGCAGGATTAGAGCCTCTGTTTTTGTGTTAGGGTCAGACAGTACGCTCAAGTGAGCTCTGTGTATCATTAATGAAAGAAAAGATTTAAATTAACCACTTGGACTTTTTAAATAACCTTTTTAAGCCACTAAAAGAGCATAGGTAGTTGCCCATGAGAAAATCCTATGAAATAGTGAGTGGCACGAGTCATCTATTCCATAATGGAAGAAAATTATGCTGTTTAATGGACTCCATGGGAATGGTCAGTAAATATATATCACAAATTCGTTTTTAAATTAGCATATTACTTTATCAGTAACTATGGGATTTGGATAGAATACTGATCAGATGGTCAGAAAAAAGCCTCTTCCCAAATTCACATTAGCTGAATCGTGCTTACCTGGCAGCAGGTAGGGCCAGAGCCCAGGTGCAGAGCTCCAAATATAAGGCTGCATTGAAAGCCTGGATCTGCTCAAATCTGTGACCACTGGGGAAAGGCCCTGAGTCGAGCTATTCCCATTTTCTGAAATGACCCAGTACAAACCAAGTACTGCAACCTCCTGAAGCCTGAAGCAGTTCATACAAGGACTCTGTGACCATCCACTCTTGAGGGGACTAAAAAGACAATTGCTGAAGGTCTTCTTGGCAGTAACAGAAATACTGAGTCATCAGCATATTATAACAATTCATTGAATGAATATGCTGCCTTTACTTTTAAATTCATTAAGTGCTAAAATATATGACTTGGTAAATTTTCTCCATTGTCCTCAAAGTGCATTTGTCAGTCAGGTTTCTGCCACTATGACAAAACACCTGAAAGAATAAACTTACAAGGAGAAAAGATTTATTTTGTCTCATGATTTTAGAGGCTTCATTTTATGATTGTTTGGTCCTGTTGCCTTTGGACCTGTAATGACACAGTACTCATGGTGAGGGGCATGTGGCAGAGGAGATCTGTTGACCTCATGGCCATCAGAAAACAGAGAGAGGAAGAGGCTGGAGGTCAAGGGCACACACTCAATGACCCAACTTCCTTCCACTAGGCCCCACCTCCCAGTAGGACCACAGGTTGGCAACTAGGCCTCCAGCAAATGGCCTCTTGGGCAACATTAAGATCCAAACCATAACAGTGTCTTGATTGGGAAAAGACATGTTTTATAAAGGAGAGAAAGAAGGTCACTGGCCCCCAGTGACTGTTGGTGTCAGTGGTGGAGCCAGAGCCACAGAGTGGGAACTCCAGTCTCCCAACCCAGGGTTCTACTCAATTAGTGACACTAGAGGAAAAAAAGGTTAATAGTATAGACTACAATAAAGAAAGTAGTTTTTATGAGATTTTAAAATATCCTCCAAATCAACATTTGGAGATATTTCTCTCCTTTTAAAAAAATATCTTGACCTTTTAAAAAACAAAATGGAATTACACTCTCTATACTGGTTTGTATCTTACAGTTTGTGGTTCTGAAAATATTTTTCTATATCATTATAGTATTTCTTGAAAATATAAATTCACAAACTACATGGGGAATTAGTAAATAAGTAAGTTATAACACCCTCAAAAATAAAATATTAAAAGTTGATCTCTTCTAATTCTAAAGGAGCCAAAAATTCTTCTAAATGTGTATTACATTTTTCTTGATACCTTGGGTAAAAAAAGTTACATAAATTATACTGTACATGAAATATGATTTTTTTTTCTACAAAGCAGATCATAATTCTAAAATTGAGAAGAACCATCTGGAATGTGAATCATTAGGTTAAATAAAAAGAAAATGATAAAAAAGTAATAAAGGACTCTTCCAGGATCCTGGAGAACTTCATAATTTCTTCCTTTTCACAGACTGGGTAATCAGGAATCTAACCAAATGTTAGTTTATTATTCTCGAAGGAACTGACCCTAAGAACTTATGATTCAGAGCTATGGTCATCGATTGACCAGACGGTAAAGGAAGCTCTCCCCAAATCAATGTAACCTAGGGGTGAGGCAGGCAGAGAAAGCTCAAGGCATCTAGTTCTGTGCTTTACTTATTCAGAAATTGGAAATATGGAAGACAAATTCAGAAGGAAATCTTGTCATAATCCCAGGAGGGGAGTCCTTTGAATGACTGGGTATTTGTTGAGTGGCCCAGAAAAATATGGGTAAAGGGCCAGGGATTTAGCTCAGTGGTTTCACCACCTGCTGTGCAAGCACAAGGACCAGAGTTCAATCCCCTGTACAAAAAAAAAAAAAAAAAAAATTACTAGAGCTAGAAGGAATGGCAGAGGCAAGACCCTAGCAAAATATTCTCCCATGATTCCCATGCTCAAATACAGTGGTAGTTTTT